GTTATAATAGCAAACTCCGAGGAATCTCACTCGTCCTCGTTAGTACGTGAGAATTCGGAGAAAGAGGTCGCGAAGAAGGTAAATAAATAGGGGATGCCACCTACAGCTTGTACAATTCTATTGCTATTTTTGTTCAGGAGAACGTTGTTGAGGATGTTAAAACTGCGGAAGCTGAGGACCAGGGAAAGGTTGTGGTGAATCCAAACCTGCCTCATGGAGAAGATGTGAATACCACTGTCGCTACTGCCGACGAGAGTTCTCAAGTAAAGACCGATCCAGCTGCTGAGATCCGAAAGGTAAGCTCCCAAAGTCTACGCAGATTGACAATGTTTGCATATCTGGTTGCATGTTGAAATGCACACTTTATTTTTCGATTTGCAGCAACTGAGACTGCGTAGACATGAGAAAAGGCTGACAGAGCTTCTCCAGCAGGATGAAGGAGAAAAGGCACGCCTGGAAGAGGAAGCTATCAAACGCTCCAAAGCTGTGGATGGGGCGATACTCGGCAAGTACAGCATTTGGAGGCGGGATGAAAACGAAAACTCAGACTCCCTGGTCAGATTGATTCGCGATCAAGTGATTATGGCCAGAGCATACATTGGGGTTGCTCAGGCTCGCAACAATCAGAGGCTTCTTCGCGATCTGAGAATACGTCTCAGAGACAGCGAGCGTGTCGTGGGTGACGCAACCATTGATGCTGAGCTACCACGGAGGTAATATTTCTTCCTTGCAGTACCTTACGAGTGGAACTTAGCGTCTCTATCTTGCAGTGCTCCCGATAAAATCCGTGCCATGGGACAGGTTTTGGCCAAGGCAAGGCAGCAGAATTACGACTGTAACTCTCTAGTCAAAGGTTTGCGAGCAATGCTGCATGGAGCTGAAGATTACGCGCGCTCACTCAGGAAGCAAAGTGCGTTCTTGAGCCAGCTTGCTGCCAAGACCATGCCGAAAGGCCTGCATTGCCTTTCGCTGCGCCTCAACGTACAGTATCATGTACTGCCCCCAGATGAGCGTCAGTTCCCGAACCGGGAAAAGCTCGAGGACGACGACTTGTATCACTATGCGCTCTTCTCGGACAACGTCCTTGCAGCAGCAGTGGTGGTCAATTCCACTGTCCTCCACGCCGAGGTACGTACATTTACTTTTCAGGAGTTGTAAAGACATGTGACTTGTGTGTCTTGGTTTGTGCAGGAACCCGACAAGCATGTGTTTCATCTGGTTACAGACCGCCTAAATTTCGGGGCCATGAAGATGTGGTTTCTGGACAATCCCCCGGGCAACGCCACCATTCACGTCCAAAATATCGACGACTTTACGTGGCTCAATTCTTCCTACTGTCCCGTCCTACGGCAACTGGAATCCGCAGCGATGAAGGACTACTACTTCAAACCGGACCAGACAACGAGCGTAACTTCTGGGACGTCCAATCTGAAGTACCGGAACCCCAAGTACCTGTCGATGCTCAACCATCTCAGGTTCTATCTTCCGGAGGTGTTCCCGGGACTGAGCAAGATCCTGTTCCTGGACGACGACATCGTTGTGCAAAAGGACCTGACTCCGTTGTGGTCCGTGGACCTCCATGGCAAGGTGAACGGTGCAGTGGAGACTTGTGGAGCCAGCTTCCATCGATTCGACAAGTACCTCAACTTCTCCAATCCTCACATCGCAAGGAACTTCGATCCAAACGCGTGTGGCTGGGCCTACGGGATGAACATCTTCGACCTGGAGGAGTGGAAGAAGCGCGACATCACAGGAATCTACCACAAGTGGCAAACGATGGTAAGCGTTTTTTGGAAAGTCTAAAACGATGTGGCTAAGCTCTTTCTCTTGCAGAACAAGGATAGGACACTCTGGAAGCTGGGAACCTTGCCTCCGGGACTCATCACCTTCTACAACCTCACGTACCCGCTCGACAAATCCTGGCACGTCCTGGGACTCGGTTACAACCCCGGTGTGGAGCCCGAGGATATCGACGCTGCCGCCGTTGTCCACTACAATGGGAACCTTAAACCTTGGCTAGAAATTGGACTCTCGAGATTCAAAGGTTACTGGTCGAGGTACGTGAAGTATGATCATCCTTACTTGCAGGAGTGCAACATCCAGTAGTCCAAGAAGAAAAAAAAGAAAAACAAACAGATCGATCGACCGACCAAGTTTTGTTCTCCATCCTTCCATCAACCCCTGGCACCTGTGCTGTAAATACGGATCAAGGTATTCTTTTGTAAGTTCGCAGCTCATTTCTAACAAAATGGCTGCTGCTTTTTCCCGAAGAAAATAATGCACAGAGAAAGAATTTTCCGGCAAAGCAGTGGCTCGTATAGAAAGTGGATGGTTCGTATAGAAAGGGGAGAGAGCGTTGTTTTCTACAAACACACACAGAACAACCAATAAACAGGAGTAAATATTCAAGCAACTCCAGCCGCAGTATTCTTCTCAAGTTCTGGTTCATCGACACCGACCGGTTCTCTCGGACGAACTTACTGGTTTTTGTGTACACCGGGACTGGTTCTCTGGATTGGTGGCGATTTACAGGGCAGCCGGTCAGTGGAGATAGATCCTCCAACAAGAACAGGGAACGCTGGGCTCGATCTTCTAGACGCCTACCATGGTTCTCTGCTGGTTAAACGACGGTGCCATTCCCATCACCAGCACGGCCTCGGAGCTCACGGCCTTGGTGGCCGCAGCCGCCTCGAGCCGCTTCCACGTTATCTCGCGCTTCTCCTCGATCCCCTTGGATTTCTCCTCGTCCTCCTGGAACTTTCGCTGGCACTCCTGGAACAGCTCCGGGTCCATCTCCGAGAACATCTTGCGGACGTTGCAAGTCAGCCCGTGCACCGCCTGGTTCCAGTGGTTCCGGTTGTTCATCTCCAGCGCACTGAAGATCAGTGGCAGTATCGTCTGCCGGTTCTGTGCCACCAAGCTCACGACGTGATCGTTGTTCCACAAAAAGAGTGCTCGTTCCGCTACCTGGGGAAAGAAAAAAAACCGGAAAAGAGAGTCAAAAGGCAAGGAAGAATAACTTTAAAGACGAGAATGTGTACCTGGAAGTGGGAGCTATTAAGGCAGCGGGCAATCTGTCGGAACAGGGGAACCATGCAGCGCTCAAACTCTGACGCCTGCGTCGCCTCCAGTACCTCCTCCAGCTCATTCAAGAAGAGGACTTCCTTTTGGCTGTTGGTGACAGGCCAGTACTTGAGCAGCCCTCTTATGACAGTGTCCGCGAGCTTGCAGTCCTTCTCCACGAACTGCGTTATGCAGTACGACAGCTGCTGGTGGTACATGGCCACGCACTTTGGCTTGTGGAGCGGCACCAGAGCTCGCACCAGGAACAGCTTGTGCTCTTCCTTGAGCGGCAGCGCGAACCCGTTGATGATGCTGCCCAGGATCTCCAGCATCTCCGCGATGCCGTTGTGCTTCTCCGTCTCGAAGATGAACCGGTAGAAGATGTTGTTGATGGCCTTGCGGATGAAGGGGCGGTGGACCATGAACTTGCCGTAGATCCGATGCAAGATGGTCTTGAGGTACTCTCTCTCTCGGGGGTCCTCCGAGTCGAAGAGATCCAGCAGCCGCAGCACGAAGAAGTGGTCGATGTAGCGCTTGGCGACCTTGGCGTCGGTCTCGGTGGACACCACCAGGCGGAGTAAGAACTCGTAGACGATCTGCAAATGCGGCCATGCCGGGTCCATGACCGGCTCCTCGTCCTCGTCAAAGCTCTCGGACACGGCACTGTTCTCGCGGGACGAGGGTGGCAGGCTCCGGAACAAGTTGGCCGACACCATCTTGGTCATGTCCTCGAGGACGTTCTCCGTGAACTTGCCCGACCCCGAGGTGACGTAGTCGACGAGCTCCAGGAGTGTCTGCCGCTTGATCTCCTTTTCTCGCGTGTGCTTGGAGGGGTCAGTGAAATCGAACACGCAGCAGCACAAATGTAGCTTCTTCACGAAGAGCGATTGCTTCTCGGAGCTGGGAACGTCGCGGAAGAGCGGCAGCGGCTCAAAGTTGGTCAGTGGGAGGAGCCCATTCACCGGCCCGGAGGAGGAAGACGAAGACCGAGAGCCAGGATTGGAAGGAACACTGGTAGAGCCCGGCATTATACCGCCTGGATGAGGAGCTGGAGCGCCAATCGAGGACTCAATGCTGCTATCATTCCTGGACGACGGCTTGCGAATTAATTGCTTGAGCTTTATGTTGACCATGTCTGGACTGCCTGGTGGTAACAAGCAAAAACCCTTCTTTAGGGTGTGCTCCCCAAAAACCCCTTCTTGCTCGAGATTTCCCCCGGCCTACGCATCTAGCAGTCGCAAAGCCCACACACTTGCCTGTGCTCGTGAGATTTCCCTCGATTCACTGCTGCCGCTGCTGCTGCCGCTCCGGGGAGAACATGATCGATCCGGGGATTGCTCCGGCTGTGAAATCCTGTGCTCCAGCGGCGGCGGCAGCGGCGGCGGCGAGGCGGTGGAGATCGAGATCGGCGCGGCGGCAGCGGCAGTGGCGGCGACGAGCATCGGCGCGGCGCCCTTGTCCTCCTCCCCGATCGGCTATGGCGGAACCCTTCTTTGGTTCCACACTAATTTTATTGTGACGATGTGGGCGGCCACGATGGGAGGAGCGCATCCGACGGCCAGCAGCTCGAGGCGGAGATTTCTCCACTGGAATGGAAAGTAAACGCTGGTCAAATCTCCGTACGCACGGAAAATGTGGCCATCGGGCATGGAGTATGGCGCAAGAAAATCATTTGGAACATTCATATCCTTTGGAAACCATGTACCAACCACGCCATTATCTTTTAATCGTATGTACAGTGGCCAATGAGCCACATGGCGGAGACTCGGAGCTGGCCGCAAAACACCGGCGGCAGCCGGTATGTGGATAAGATCGAGCGCTAGTAAAACGGTGAATAGACGAGGTGATTTACCGGATGACTGCCTGGTGCCGGTGGCCAAGACATGCATGAACTGAACGGCGGTGAATATACCCATTTTCACTGACTGAATATTCTCTCTTGGGCTAGGAGGAGAAAGAGAGGAGTTTTCTTGTGAGGGCTGGATTATTAGATCCCCATCGGCGTCTGGGAGCGTTGGCGCGTCGTCTCAAATCTTGTCGCGGCGATGGCCAGGTGGGGTATTTGATCGATGCCGCCAGGAAAATCTAGGAATTCGGCCAGTTTCTCGTCAAGATCGGGGCTCTAGATCCATTTCGCTCGAAATTCTTCCCTCCCGGATTGGCAGCTCCATCGGGATCCAGAATTTCACGGATTTTCTGTTCCCAGCCGAGAATGCGCACGTAGGGTTTGTCCGGCAGCTCGAGAAGTGCTATGGCGGGATGTCTGACGCGGTGGAGGAAGCTGAGCGATATTGCGGCCGCCAGGTTCGCTCTGGTGTACGTCTCGAGACCCGATGCCAGCATTTCTCGAGAATCGGGCGCCTATCAATCCGTATCATGCAATGCCGCCGCGAGCCCGGCGCTCTTCGGCAATCCATTCGGGCTCTCCAATTCAGCCTGGCTCCACACCACTCCCGCGGTATCGACGACGCACAAGGGCGACGAGCTAAATCCCGGGGGCGCCATGGGATTGCCCAAAGGAGGCAGGAAGAAATCGGTGATACCCCCATCGCCGCCATCCTCCACTCCTGTCAGCGATGCTGTGGATAAGAAGAGGCAAAATTCGCTGGTCGAGCAGGAGGGCGAGCGGTGTTGGAGCTTCAGGGCCTCTTCTCGGTGCCCGACTTGCCTGACCGGTTTGACGCTCACTTTTACGTCGAGCTTGCCGGTGTTTATATCGGGCAGCTTGCAACAGGGAGGAGGAACCGGCAAGGATTCGTCCAAAGTGGCCGAGTCTATGTGCTGCTGCCCGAACTGTGGAGCATACTGGTCGCTCCCGGTGCCATGCTACGTACTCAAGGATCTGGAGAACAAGTTTCCGAGGCGGGGCAAGTCTTTGGTTCTAAGTGAGAGCCAGGCTACTGGAGGAGGACCGTTTGATTTTGATAGAGCAAGTGGTGAAGGGTCGAGGAGGTATGGAGACAATCCACAGCATTGGCAGCAGGGCGCTGGAGTGAATTTGCCTCCGGTGGTAGCGATGTCTCAGCCACCGTGCCCGCCGTATCCTCCCAATACCAACTTGGTGAGAGCGCAGCTTGGATCGGGAGGAGGATCTGGAGGGAGTGGTTCGTACGGTGTGAAGGACACTTGGGGTGGCTCGAACTTGGGTAAGGAATTACCCACGCCGAAGGAGATTTGTGATGCTCTTGACAAGTATGTCATCGGCCAGGGACGTGCCAAGAAGGTGAGCTATTGAGATCTTTCTTATTTATTGTTTCGGCCGCTTCGAGACGTCGCTAATGGCTGCGTTGGTTTTTGTATTTGTAGGTGCTCTCGGTTGCAGTATACAATCACTACAAGCGGATTTACTACGAGACGACGAAGAAGAATAACTACAAGTCTGAAGGGTAGATATTTGTTTGATTTTTGTTTTTCTTTCTTTTTTCTTTTCCGTTTTTTGCTTTTTCTTTCATGATTGTGATCCTCTGAGCACTGACTGGACCAACTTGTTGGCAGCGACGATGAAGGAGATGACAGCGATGTGGAGCTTGAGAAGAGCAACGTTCTTCTCATGGGTCCTACAGGATCAGGTGAGGTTGAGTGTTCTTGCTAAATTGTTTGGTAATTTGATCACCCCTCTCTTTGTCGTGATCAGGAAAAACGCTGTTGGCTAAGACCCTTGCACGATTTGTAAATGTTCCTTTTGTTATTGCGGACGCAACCACTCTAACGCAGGTTTGGACTTTTTTTTCTCTCCCGGTTCGTGAAATAATAATTCTGTGTGCAGGCAGGATATGTCGGGGAGGATGTGGAGTCGATTCTGTACAAACTTTTGATGGTACATTACTTTTTATTTCTTGTAGCTTCAGATGTTGGTTTCTTTTTTCTACCAGGCTGCGGAATTTAATGTTCCAGCAGCTCAGCAGGGCATTGTATATATCGATGAAGTTGATAAAATAACGAAAAAGGTACTGCTTTTCTGCCTGGTCAAATTTGGTTTTGACAAATTTTTTTCCTTTTGTCGTCACAGGCGGAGAGTCTCAACATAAGTAGGGACGTTTCCGGCGAAGGCGTTCAGCAAGCTCTGTTGAAGATGCTTGAAGGAACGGTTAGTTCTACTGTTCCACTGCCAGCTTAGTGTGATTATCCTGCAGATTGTCAATGTACCCGAGAAAGGTGCTAGAAAGCATCCTCGCGGGGATCATATCCAGGCAAGTGCGGTCGTCTATTTTTGAGTGAATAACCGTTACAATCTGTCTTGTTTTTAGGTGGATACGAAAGATATTTTGTTCATATGTGGAGGGGCTTTCGTTGATCTGGAAAAGACAGTTTCTGAGAGGTTTATCTTTCGAAAACTTGAACATCGGCTCACAATGAGATTGTTTTCAGGAGACAGGACTCGTCGATAGGTTTTGGAGCACCTGTCCGAGCAAATATGAGGGCTGGTGGCCCCTCTAGTGCGGCTGTAACATCGTCACTTCTTGAGAAGGTGCTAAACTAACGTTCTTACCCAATCTGACCGGTGCTCTACACAGGTTGAGAGTAGCGATCTTATAGCATACGGATTAATTCCGGAATTCGTTGGGAGGTTTCCTGTTCTTGTAAGTCTCGCAGCGTTGTCAGAAGACGAGCTTGTGCAGGTAACTTGACTTCTACAACAGAAAACAAGTTCTGACGGACGGCCTTGCTTTTCAGGTTCTAGTGGAGCCGAAGAACGCTCTTGGGAAGCAGTATAAGAAAATGTTTGCAATGAACAACGTAAGTACACCGTGCTTTCTTTGCAAAACTTCTCTACACGGTGATGGATTCTTCTTTCAGGCGCGACTACATTACACGGATGGTGCACTGCGAAAGATTGCTCAGAAAGCAATGGCCAAGAACACAGGTGCTCGTGGCCTACGTTCCCTCATGGAACAGATCCTCACCGATGCCATGTTTGAGGTGCGTTTAACGTTCCCTCTTTTCTCTTCTCCTCACTTTTTAGCTATTCTCCAGATCCCGGAGTCCCAGAGCGCGATGGAGCGCATTGACGCCGTGGTGATCGACGAAGCATCAGTAGGAACTCCCGAGAACAGTGGCTCGGGTGCCAAGATCTTGCGTGGAGACGGCGCGTTTGTGCGATACTTGGAGACACAGGTAAAGCATTCTAGAGTTTGCTACTTCCGATCGTCCTCATTCTGTTTTGGAAATCTCTTCTCAGGCGGAGGAAGAATTGGAGCTCGAGAGAGCCGCGAGCATGTAAAAATTGATGCTTTTGTACCATCACAAAAACACCACCTTGTCTATAGGATGATGATGATGATGCTGAAAGAACAGTGTTTTACTTTTTCACAAACTTCCATTGTACGGAATTTTGTGATTATTGTAGTACGGTATATTTTTTAGCGTTTCCCTTTTATCGAAATCCCTAAGCGAATAAATCGTGACTCTGTGGTTGGCTCGCTGTGGCTATGGCGGAGGCGGGGTGATGATCGCCAATGCCGCCCCAAATTCTCTCTGGATGAGCACAGAGATGGCCCTCACCACCGGGGGGATGATTACCGTCGCGGCGGCGCGATCGCTCAGCTCCATCGCCAGCTTGAGGAAGCTGCACGGGGACTCCTGGATCGGCCATTGCAATCCATGCCCGAGGCTCGTCTTCACGTCCTGCCGGCTGCGCCACAAGAATCTAAGGTATTATCCATCGAAATCCTTGTAGAGCATTCTTTCTCGCTTTTCTTCTTTCTCTTCTCTGACTCGCTACCTCGCAGGAAAAGATTACAAGCGGAGAAGAGCGCCCGAGAGCGTCTCGCGGTTGATGCCGAGGATTTTCCATCGGAAGAGGCGAGAGATGAGGGCTCCGAGGGGGAGAAGAATGTCCAAATGCTGGCAAACGGTCCATTCTTTCCATCGAAGGACTCCAAGGTTCTCCATAGCAGCAGTTTGAAATACCAACTTTCTCATACGTTCTTTTCTTCCTTCTTTTTGTATAGACTGAGGAAAGTCTGGACGTGGAAGAGAAGCGGTCCTTCAGTGTTAGCATTGAAGACCTGCTGCTAATGATCAGAGAAGCCGAAAAAAGTGGGTACTGTCCTTAACAGGCCTTGAGTTTTCGATCGTGTTCACGTCCTGATTGAAATGTTCTGGTTGAAGATATTCTACTCTTGAACCAGGTCCGAGCTCGAGCGCTCAAAGACCTCCAGGAATCTCGCCGGGAGAAGGATAGCTTGCGAGCAGAAGTAGAGGTGTTGCGGACGAGGCTGGCCGAGTCAAGTGCAAAGATAAAGCTGGCCGAGCAAGAGAGATTAAAGAATGAAATGCTCCAGGACGAGGTGCAAATCCTCCAAAAGAAGCTGAAGGAGAAAGAGGACTCGCAACAACAGGCCCTGACAACCAAAAGCTCTAGTCTCAAAGGTACTAAATTTGAGGAGGAGGTGGAATCACTGAAAGCAAGTCTTGCCGATCTGAGAAGCAAGGATGAGCTGCTGAAACAACTACAAAATGATAAAACAGAGCTTCAAGACAGGCTCCAGTCGTTAGAGTCGAGGCTGGAAGAGAACACGGTGTCCCTTACGGACCTCAAGAACGCAAAGGCTGAAAACGATACACTCAAGGAAAATATTCGTAAGCTGCAAATGGAGCTTCAAGTTGCCGAGCTATCAGCTACAGAAGCATTCAAACTGTCCGAGCAAATGCTTTCTCCTACGACGACTGGCTCGGAAGCTGTTGGAAGCACAAACGATAGGCTACTTTTGGAGAACCGCATGCTACAAGAACAGGTCAAGAAGCTGCTAGTACAATTGGCTCAGGCCGAGAGTCAGAAAATACTTCTAGAACACGCTCAAGCTGACAAGAAAGCTCTCAAGGAACAGGTTCAGCTGTTACAGCACCGGCTACTGGAATCGGATGCCGAAATACGAGCACAGCTGCAAACTTATCAAGCGGAGGTGGAAGGCTTTCAGGCCAGGCTTGAGCGTCTGAAATCAGAAAAAAAGTCGGGGATATTACAGGTTCCAGCAGGAGAAATGCCATGGGATTTCTGGACGGGTATACATCTTCGTATAGATGCGTGGATGCTGGATAAAGTTATCACTGTTGAGGATGGCGAGGAACTAATGCTAATGGCATGGCGCAGAGATGCACGACTTCGAGATGCATTTGTCCAGCTGCAGGAAAAGAGCAACGAGGAGATCATGTCTGGTCTCTTGAAGCTTGTCAACGATCGAAAGAGGTTAGTGTCTGGAATGAGAGTGCTTCCTTTTCATTCTTGCATTCTTCACTCGCAGGCCGGGGCTGTACGTTGTTCACATCGCAGCAGAAATGGCACCAGTTGCGAAGGTAAAATTGTGGTTGTATAAGCGTCTGATATAACCAATCTTGGTATTACCAGGTTGGTGGCCTGGGGGATGTTGTGACTGGTTTAAGCCGATCCTTGCAAAGGAAAGACCACTTGGTTGAGATCATCCTTCCCAAATACGACTGCATGGATTACGATCGCATAAAAAACTTGAAGGTATTGATTTTTTCTACCGGTCCCTCAGCCATCTCTACTTGATAGGTTCTAGATATGGAGCTTTTATCGTTTTTCGACAACAAAACTTTCAAAAACAAAGTTTGGCTGGGCACTGTTGAAGGTGATCAGAATCTCGTCATACTTGTTACGCTTGAGCAATTTGCGCTTGCAGGTCTCCCTGTTTATTTTATTGAGCCCTTTCATCCGGCAAATTTCTTCACGAGGCGCACCGTCTATGGTGAAAGAGACGACTTTAGGAGGTTTACGTATTTCTGCCGTGCTGCTTTAGAGTTTCTTCTGCAAAGCAACAAAAGGCCTGACATAATCCACAGCCATGACTGGACTTCTGCAGCAGTAGTATGTATTTTACTCTTATGTAACTTGGTTTCGGACTAACTTCACATTTCAGGCACCATTATATTGGGACATTTATGTTCCTTTAGGATTGAATTCAGCTCGGTTGGCATTCACATGCCACAATTTTGAGTATCAAGGCACGGAATCTCCTGCAGCTTTGGCTGCCTTTGGCTTGAACGTGCAGCAGCAATTCAGACAGGATCGAATGCAGGACAGTTTCATGCATGATAGAGTGAACCTGTTGAAGGTGGTATTTTTACAGTCCTCCTGTTTTTCTCATGTTTTATTCTCAGGGAGGTATCGTTTTCTCAAACATTGTCACGACCGTTTCTCCAACTTATGCTCAAGAAGTCAGATCGCCGGAGGTACACATCTGACTCACTGAGAATAGAATTAATCACTACGTATGACTTGACTTGACGACTTTGTTGTGCAGGCCGGCCGAGGACTGCAAGTCGCACTCTCTGTACATTCAAACAAGTTCTATGGAATTTTGAATGGAATTGATGTTGAAGCCTGGGATCCTTCATATGATCCTATACTGCAGCACCAATACAGTGCAGAAGATTTGAGTGGCAAAGCAGCCAACAAGGCTTCTCTTCAATCTCAATTGAGACTAAATGTCGACAAAAAACGGCCCTTGGTAAGTTTTTTTCTATTCTTGTTTTGTGAGATTTTAAGACCAGGATTTCAGATAGGATGCATCACTAGGCTTGTACCCCAGAAAGGCGTACATTTGATAAGACATGCAATATATCACACTGCAGAAAAAGGTGGACAATTTGTTCTGCTGGGGTCTAGTCCTGTTCCTGAAATTCAGGTGCGTTCGAGTGACTTTCTTTTCATCTTTTCAGTTCCTGACATTTTACTGCACTACAGCGTGAATTTGAAGCACTTTCTTACAAGTTTGAAGGCCATTCGGATGTGCGGTTGCTGCTAAAGTACGACGAGCCTTTGGCACATTCAATCTACGCGGCTTCGGACATTTTCGTCATTCCATCGGTGTTTGAACCATGTGGACTGACTCAGGCAAGTAGCTATCCTCAATTGTCAAACTAAGAAGATCCTTTCCTTGTCGCGCAGATGATTGCCATGAGATATGGGTCCATCCCAGTAGTACGTAGAACAGGCGGTCTAAATGACAGGTCTTTCTTTTCTCTTTGTTCTTTTCTCCGTCAAATGCATGATGACGAGCTGCTTGACGCTCTCCTACGTTCTGTGCAGTGTCTTTGACGTCGATGACACGACGATTTCGGAAGAAAAACGCAATGGATTTAGCTTCTCGGCGGCTGAAATTCAGGTACAACTAGCTGTTTTCTGAAATACTTTTTCCATAAACCATTGTTTGCATCGCAGGGATTGAACTACGCACTAGATCGTGCAATCAAGTACTACTTGGAAAAGCCCGGGTGGTGGCAACAGCTTGTGAAGAAGACAATGCGGCTAGACTTTAGCTGGGACTCCTCCGCTGATCAGTACATCGAGCTTTACAGGCAAGCTATCAATCGCGCAAGGTCCAGGGCACCTGCATAATAGGCATTCTCTCGCTCCATTCCTCTTTTTACGTAACGCGTGTATATACTACGAGGAGCTGTAGGCTAAACGGGAAGAGTCTCTCCTGGGCTGGGCCATAGAATTCTCGACAAGAATGGCAACATTTGGAGCCTGGAATTGGATGGACGTAGTCCCTTCTCGTATGCGGTACGTCTGTGTCCTTTTTCTTTCATTTGTTTTTCTTGAACTATTGCTATGTTGTTTTGCGAAGGTACGAGCATAAAAAACAGGTGGTCAGCAAGAGGTGTGATTTTGGAATCCATGGACATTTCAAGTAGGGGCTCGGCTACTCCGGATACAAAGAAAGTGTCGAGGGAGACAAATTTTACACTTACTGGCGGATCAGTCGTAGCTTTAAGAATCATCGCAGTAGGGGAGAATGTCATTCAAACTTCCAAAAATGGGCGAAGTTGATCCCATGGTGCGATGTTCTTGTTGATCACAGCACGTAATCCATGAGTTGCAATCATGCACAAGTTTTCGATGCCTGTGCTCCTTGAATCAGGCATGATGGATGTTTTTCATGATCCATCTTTCATACGTTTTGATTCTTTGATCGACCTAAAATTATTATATTTCATTAAGCTAAGTTGATAAATATCAACCTTTTAGTGAATGACATCAAGCGAGCGAGGTGGTGAAGGAGACAGTCTGGAGAGGGCTTCCACAATGGTACTGCTGAATTATATCCGCCAGCGAGTTGACAATTCGACTATCCATGGGCTTCACCAAGGGATTCCTCTGCGGGACTAGCACAAAATCGTAAGTATGGTTCTTTGCACTGAATGGATTTTGGTATGGGATGTTCTTGCTGGTATTGGAAGGAGCAACATAAGGCTCCAAAATGCTGCTCTTCACAGCTCCTGCAAAGCCAAGCCATGATCAATAGATTTGTCTTAGTCTTGTTCTACACTTACCAGTGCTACCCGCTGGGATGTTTGCGATCCAGAAGTTGATGTAGGGGTAAACTTTGTTTGGTGCTACCAGTGCCTTTTGATCCGCCATGACCACCGAGAAAAGACGAGCAGTGCCATTCTTCCCAAATCCTTGGATATCAACAGTGGGGGCCGCGTCAGTACTGCTCAAGGGGATGAAATTGCCATTCCCGACCGTGGTGGAACCGTACTGTACCAGCAAACCCACAGAAACTTGAGCCAACAAGGAGAAAAATACCAAGGAAGACACCACTGAAGTTGCCATTAGAAAATTGATTGATCAAATGAAAGATGTTTTACGTTTAGAATTCCTCAGGATTTATACAAAGGCTTGGTGCTAAATCTATCCATCCCACCTTTCTATAAAAACCTATGGTCCGAAATCGATTAAGATATTTTCAATGTAAATTTTCAGGAACATTCTCCCGGCAGGTTTCTATAAAATCCTATTGAAATCACTGTTAGAATTGCTTTCCTCTTTGTTGTCGCATGTTATACATTGTCACGACAGTCGTAAGACACGATCACACTAAAGAAAACGTGGTGTTGCTTCTTTGGATCCAAATCTTTACAACCTTGAAAAAGTTCTTCACGAATTATCTCCGCTCTTGTATCCATAACCTTTGACGCAGCGAAAAACTCATAGACCACGAGCCGCTTGACGCTTGGAAAGTAAATACACACCACGAGACGCTTGATGCTTGGAAAGAAAGCGAGAGAGAGAGAGAGAGAATACATTTGATCTCGACACTTCTTCTTTTGACTTAGAAAGCCTCGCGCTAAGCCCGGTTAATTTCAAGAAAACTACCTGGAAATCACATCACTTCTTCTTTCCTGCCTTTTGAGCCTCTCCAGAAGCCTTGACCTGAATGGGAGCAAGCAAGCACATCAATGGAGAGAGAGAGAGAGAGAGAGAAAGCAGACCTTCTTCACTCCGCGGATCTTCTTGGCCCTGTTCTTCCTCTCCTTGAGCTGCTTCCTCGACTTCTGCTCCCTGGTTGCAAGTCCGTTCTGCAAAAGATGCAAGGGGAAAAGCTTCCAGAGTTAGAGCGCAAGTCGAGAAACCATGAGCTCACTTCACTCACCCTGACAAGCCGATACTTGGGCTCGAACTTCTTGGCAGCCTCGACCGAGTCGTAGATGAGACCGAATCCCGACGACTTTCCGCCGCCAAACTTGGTTCTCATCCCAAACACGAACACCGCCTGGGGATCACGGACCTCGTAAACCTTGGCCAGCTTCTCCCGGAGCTCAGCCTGTCCGACCGATCCACAACCCACATTCTCTTAGCCTAGGCTCGAAAACAATCTACAAATCCATCCCACCTTGGAAACATTGGCTCGCCCCGGATGAAGAACCTCCACGACCTGCTCAACCGTGTTAAATCAGCTCGAAAAACTGACGATCGGCACTTACAAATTGCCTGCGAAGGAGGAGACGATTCGTCATGAACTTGCGCGTGCGGACAGTGTAGTTGCGATCCGCCATCGCGCGCTCTCCCCTCTCCCTGGATTAGGGCTCATGACGGCCAAAGCCCTAAAAACTTTTATTGCCTACGTGGCGCTTACGTGTCTGCCACGTGTCAAAGAGCAAACCTTTCATCTCCAACACCGATGATCCATGGCTTAAGGGCAGATTGCCAGGGAATCGACCAAGCTTATGGTAATCTGGTCCCAAACCATTTGCTGTGACGAATTGGAGATGGAATGAGAACTCCACAATGTGGCTCTTGATCGCTGCTCATGATCAGAGTGAGTCATGTTTGCAATAGCGATACCTAGCTCATCTCCCAGCCTCCAATTCTTCTTTCCCGTACGTGCAAAGGCTTCTCACAGCTTTAGCTCCTCTCTAGAGATTCTCCCTTTCCAGATTTCCAGCCCAAGGGGGCTAGGAGCTTCCACTTCCCAAAGTATTATATCTATATGCGATCCTTTGCCACTTTTGGAGCCTGGAATTGGAGGGCTCGTCGTTCTTGCGTGTAGTTTAGCTCGCAATCTATTGTAGTACGTTCATCTTTTCCAATTTTGTTCTCGTTCGTTTTGGCTTTGATAGCTACGACACCGCATTTGCTCTCTCGCCAAATTAAAAAAAAGGGGAAAGGCCCAATCTTTCGGGGGGACCAGCAGCACGAACCAAGCACTCAATCTCTCAGCGCCAAAACAAAAAACAAAAAAAAAAAAAATTAAATTTTTTTTAAAAAAAATTTGTCTTTGGGTCAAACAATCAAAGAGAAAAGACTTCGTCCAGTTCTCTTCCTCTAAAGCCTTGTAATCCCAAATTCATAACTTTGAAAGGGTCCTCCACTGGCCAATTATTTGGGTCGCTTTTGCCACGTCAGCCCCACGGCCAAAAGAGTACCTGGTCCGCCGCCGTCCATAAAGCTCATGACGTGGCATGAAAATGGAGAATCTCTCTCGCGGGCAAACCGGCTCCAGCCGGTCGCATTCCGTACGTCTCCCTCTTCCTCAGTGCTCTCGTTCCTCACCAATGATGGAGGAGGCGGTAGTCGCCACGGCTTTCTCTTCTTTTGCGCCCTAGATTTGCCAGGATTCGTCCCGGTTTTATCGCCGCACTAGAACTCTCCCTCGGCGCGCGAGATCGTGAGTGATCGATCGCGGTATGGAATTTTCGGGCGCGGTAGCTTCCTACATTTTGCCGCAGTCGCACGAAGGGTAAATCGCGGGGATGGCGATGGTTGGTTTCGCCTAATTCCCCACCCTTGACACCCCCACTTCACCTAATTCCCCACAATCCCCACTTCAATTCCTCCCCACATTGCACGATCGAGCAGAGAGGAGCGCGCTCTCACTCAGGCGACTTCGTTTCCTTCGATCCTTCGATCCACATTGATTGATCGAGCAGAGACTTGAAAGGTATGCGCCAATCTCGCTGCGATCTAGGTGACAATGTGGCCATTGTAGGAGATTCGATCGATCGATCGATTGCTTGATTTAGAAACAATTGGGATGTCCCGGAATTGCGATGATCCCCTGCGATGGCTCAAGCCACTCCTCCACACCAATTTCTTCCACTCGTGCCAAAAGCACCCACATTTGAGCCGCAACGAGTGCAATCTCTACTGCCTGGATTGCCCCGGCCAGGCAATTTGCTGCCCGTGCACGATTGACCATCGAAATCACCGTATGCTCCAGGCAAGTTATATCATGGTGGGTGATGATCACGTTTTGATCAAATCATCACCATCATAGAAAATTGGTTTTAATTTTTCTAGTTATAACTCTGGATCATTGTTTCCAGATCAGACGCTCGTCCTACCACAATGTGATTAGAGTTTCGGAGATCCACAAGGTGCTGGACATCACGGGCGTCCAAACCTACGTGATCAACAGCGCCCGCGTCGTGTTTCTCCACCACAGGCCGCAGATCAAGCCCGTGAAACCATCGCTCAAGACTTGCGAGATCTGCGAGCGGAGCCTGCCACAAAGCTACCGCTTTTGCTCCCTGGCTTGCAAGGTTCGCCTTCCTTTCTTTGCTCTCCGTAATGCTTGCCATGGATTTGTGATTAGCTTGCGGGGATCACCCATCTCAACGAGAAATTCGTGCCTCGGGAACCCAAGCGAGACAAGAATGGTGGCAACAAGCAACAACCAAAGCAACACCAAGAACAACAGCAACAGCAACTGGATCACGAAGCATACGAGGATTTCATGGATCATCGCAAAGTTGATGGTGCCAGTGCCACCGACAGCAGCAGCAGCAGCAGCAGGATCAATGCCGCTAAAATTCCAGACTCCACGCTGCTCGGCTTGTCGCCTCCAACGCCTCCACCCATTATCGCAAACATTGACAGAAGGAATCCCAGCCGACGAAAGGGTTTACCTCAGAGGGCGCCACCTCTCTAAAAATCCAAAAAAAATTCCAAAAAACACTATTCTATATCAATAATAAATTTTCCTGTGGAACAATCTACCCAGCTATTATTGTAAATTACACTGATAAATGCATGAATGAGTGAGAGTGAGAAAAAGAAAGATAGATGGTTTGAGTCACCGCAGAAGAGCATAGTCACAGAAGAGAGTTCCACTTAAAATCCGCCCGCCAAATTGCCAATTGTTGGCGTGATTTGTGATGTCACACTGGACCCCCAATTCCTCCACCACAGTCTCTTTTTTTGTTCCTTTGCTTTGCATGGAGGATATAAGTAACACGTTGTTGATCTTATCCTTGGTTGCAATCTAGTTTATTATTTAGATTTATTCCCTTCCTTTCTACAGTATACGAATATACCTTTGGTTATATACGTGGACCTTTTAAAATGCCAAGTGTTATAGACGACCAAACCTGTGCTGTCCGTTAGTTCACCAACAAAGCAAAAGCTTTTCTTGTTAAACCAGAGCGTTACCAAACCCAGATGAATCCTCACTTTTGGTAGTTTGTTTGCCGAAGCCAGCCCTAGAAAACGCGGGGTTGACCGTGGCTGACCTCGTAGCTTCCGGGTCAACTCTGGAATACGTGTCGTGTAAAAGGCGCCAAGGGCGGGGATTGGCTGCCGGGGTCGTCGTGCCGTGTCACCCATGGATTTCCGTAATGACATGGCCGCCGAGAGAAAAGAAAGAAGAAATGCGAATCCCTTTTCGTCACACACCTAACGATCATCCTTGCGTGTCTAAACTTTGCACAAATTGCCGCTTTCTATCCTTGCTTGACATCAATCAAGCACAGAGAGAGAGAGAGAGAGAGGAGTCGATGTGATCAAATCTTTATTTTTTTGTGCGATGGGTAAAATTCAAAGCCATCGTTTTACTCTTGTTTTCTTTCGTTTTTATCTCCATGACCTTCATAAACAGCTATCTATTTATCTATCTACAAAGGTGTGTGTGTGTGTGCGTTGTCGTAGTTTGGAGACGCGAGAGACGTGGAAAAGCTTGTAACTTGTAAGTAGGATCTTCTACGACGGCTCGTGGAGATTCACATACACAAGGATTGGGAAAATGTATTTTCTTTTCCCACAAGAAAAAAAGCTTCCACGATGAAGCTACACCGCAGCTTCATAGTGATACGACCATTCAAAGTCGGCAAAGGACGCTATGACATGAAGCTTCGAAGTAAACATGAAAAGTAGAGAGTCAACGCTAGTCCAGTCAGTCCACGCGCCAGCTTGGACTTTATAACCTTGGCCACGTCCACATCAACGTCCGTCGTGGCAAGCCACGGCAGCATTGCCTCACCAAACCCCCGCCGCCACGGGGATGACAGCACACCACGTCATCGGCGCACGCAATTCGTCCACGTGGGGAGCCCGTGCCCCTCCGATTCGATCATGCTATGGCTTACGAAGTTGCCGGGCATCGGAGAAGCCGGGCGAGACGCAATAGCCGGGCGCCACGACAGCAGGCGCGAGAATCTTCTCCTTTGCTTTGGCCAGCGACGTGTCGTCGTCTTGACCGTCGGATGCGCCTGGCGCGGTCCAAAGAGGCTGTGCCTCTAAGGGGGCCGCCTCTACTCTTTGGTCTTCCCTCATTGTGGAGAGAAGCAAAGCCTAGTTTTTAGCCGATTTTTTTCACTCCACTCTCTCGCGAGCCGCGAGGCGTTTGCTTTTTCCTTTGCTCCCAGTCGAGGGAAAATCTTCGTCTTGGCTGGGCAGAAACGCTCGCGCCGCGACGGCCCACGAGCAGGAAGCGCGAGAATTCGATCGATTTCGGGGCGAATTGGCAGCGCCCAAGTGCGGATTTGGGCCCCGGCGATGCTGCATTAGCTCACATTTCGTGTCGGTGGTGGCGGCCAGGGCGGCGTGAGCGATCGCAGCGCTCGCGATTGTGAGAGCGAGAGCTACATTGACGTGCATTACGCGGGGACCGGAAATTCGCCGCCACACAAGGGGAAGAACAGAGCACCCAATTTCCACGCGATTCTCGCGTGCGATCGTAGCACCTCATCGATCGATCGGGAGGAAGAATCGAGCTTGGGAGCGATGGTGGTGAATTTCGACCGCCAGACTTACAACGCGGAGCTCCTCCTGCCCACGAAATTGGAGAAATTGGTAAGTTTCCCCCGAGTAGATTTCTTTAGTGTAGATGAATGTTGGTAAAAGCGAGAATTCTTTTCACTCTGGCCGAGAATCTCACCGATTTTTTTTCTCTCTTTTGTTCTTCCCAGAAGCCCGGATACCAAATTGGACCGCTGTGGCTGCGGCCTCTTCTCACCACCAAATTCTTCGACACTTGCGAGGTCCATGGCGACAGCAACCGTAACGAGTGCAATCTCTACTGCCTGGATTGCCGAGGAGAGGCGCTTTGCTCGGGCTGCTCGCCACAGCACCGCGATCATCACGTTGTCCAGGTGAGAATCGATCGATCAACTCAGAAAACCACTGTTCTTGAGCCAAAGTTCTAATCTTTCTGTGCGATTTGGCGAGTGTAGATCCGGAGGTCGTCCTACCACGACGTTGTCCGCGTATCGGAGCTCCAAAAGGTCTTGGATTTGGGAGGAGTGCAAACATACATCATCAACAGCGCGAGAGTGGTGTTTCTAAACGCGCGGCCGCAGCCCCGCCACGCCAAGGGCGTCACCAAAACTTGCGAGATTTGCGACCGGAGCTTGCTCGACACCTTTCGCTACTGCTCACTCGGCTGCAAGGTAAGAGAAACACCGGATTTCTTTCCATTCCACCGAGAAGCTTTGCTCGATCTCCAACTAAAAGTTTTGCTTTGATCGTTTCCAGTTGACCGGAATCCGACGCCACAATGACATGACCTTCCACTTGCCGCCCAAGAATCCACAGCCGCCACAGCAGCAGCAGCAGCAAATTCTCGAGGATCACCATCCGCAAGTCTCCGATGATCATCACGGCCAAGAACAAGAGGTTTCTCACGAGCAAGGAAGCGTCACGACCGCCATGGCGGCTGTGGATCACGTCGAGAGCCCTCTAGCGCCGGCGATTCCCACGAGGAGCAGCGTCGTCTCCGAGGAGACGAGCTCCGGAGGGAGCACGATTGTAGGAAAGAGGACGCGATCGTCGCGCAAGAGCGGCACAACCGCGGGCGAGCACCACATCGATCATCACCAGCACCAGCACCAGCAGCAGAGCCAGAGCTCGCGATCGCGGGAGGAAGAAGAGGATCATCTAGCGGATACCATCGCCAAGAGCACCTCTCGGTCGCAAATTCCAGTCATCGATCACGACACGAGCTCCATCCAGAGGAGCCTGGGGACGCTCAAGCTGGGGCGGCCATCGCCATCGCCGTCGCCGAGCGTGAGCATGGAAGAGGCGGCGGCGGCGGCGCGCGTGGTGAAATCCAAGAAGCCGCCGGGAAGTCCCATGGCGGTGAATTCGCCCGAGCTATCGCCGCCCACACCGCCGCCCACCAGGACCGCCAAGCGGCGAAAGGGGACTCCTCACAGAGCCCCCTTTGGGAGCGCCATCTAGAAGAACTCCACACCAAGCCTACGATCATACACTAGACACTACACTCACGTCTACACTCACACTCACGTAAGATCAACCATACGATCATCACACACACCGCAAGATCGGATTGGATATCGCCTCCACTCGCGATCCAAACTCCTTCGTCGTCTCGTCACCGATCGATCGTCACGCTGGGATCGTCTCGTACACGGTGGTGGTGGGTCTTTCTACAAGCCGGCCGATCGATCGACACGCGACCATTTTGTAGATATCTGTGCATTCTCTCTACTCCTCTCGGCTTGGATCATACGTAGGCCGCTACTCCTCCTCCTCCTCCTCAATCGATCGCCCAGGAGGGATCCATCGATCGAAGAGGAGATCATAGATTGTATAGTCATCACGGTTTGCGGGGGAGTCCATACGTACTGGACCCGATGCACCGGCAGAGCAATCGTTCTCTGGATGAATCCATAGGTAGAAACGATTAAGTTGATGACATAGAATTCACTCCAAAACTCTCTTCTTTCTTTCTTTTACAAGTCATAGCAGGATTTGGAATCGGATTGTAGGGCTTGTTTAGGGACCACACTGACAAGGAGATGCGAATTAAGCGGACAAAATCACTTTTTTTTCTTTAAAAAAAGAGAGAGAGGATTAGATTAGAGGCTAAACACTTGGGTGGTGTGGACAATGTGAACTCCTCCGATTCGATGGGTCTTGGGTTTTTTTCGTCCGTGTTGTTTCGTGGGTCGCTTGGATCGCACGCAAGGATCTTCATTATACCGCGAGGAATCTCCCATCCCGGGTGTGAGGGAATCTTCGTCGCGAGCCTCGCCACGGCGGCAGTCCACTATCGCCAGGAACACTCACAGCGAGGCTTGTGGTTCCAACTTCTTTGTTCTCCGAATCACTAAAAGCTATGATTTCGTCTATGCTTGCCCGAATCAAACAAAAGCCTGGCTTGAAACATCTAGATTCTCGAGGATGGAGGATGTTGCGAGCCTCGTCAAAGTTGCCAACTCTAGCTCATATTTATGTTTTCGTTTTCTTGCGCTCGACTCGGGTGGTCCAATCCCAATCCATTCCATTTTCTCTGCGCTGTGATCTGGTGACCTTCTTCCTCCGTCGCCCTTTCCAGAAACTTACGTGGTTTTGGCGTGGCTGCGCCAGCTTTTTGGGATTTCGCGATTTTGGCAGGGCTTGCGCTCTCTGTTCTTCGTGGCATTGGGCGTCCAGGACGCCACCTATAGGATCAAGCTCTCGATCGCTCCATTTGGACGAAATCGTTGCCGCACATTTGGCACGGCCCGGGATTGATCGACACGAGAAAAAGGATGAGACAAAAGAAAAGGGGCCAGATCAGAGACGATGGAAAGGCCGCCACCACGCGCGTCGAGTGAGAGAGCAAAAAAAAAGAGAGAAGGATGTGGGGTTTTGGAGGGGTGGCCCTCGCGCCACAATGGCGACACCCCCCGTACCTGGGCCGCTGGATCAACGATGGCGCGCCAGATAGGGTTTAGGTTTTCAAATTTTCGAAAAAAAATTCGATTTTTTTGAAATTATTGCCGCCAAGGAAAGAACCCGCGAAAGTTCCGTGTCATGGGTCACTTGTTGGAGTTATCTGGAGCCATGTGTTTTGACTCTTCTAGGGCTTGGGGCTCCACACATGAATTGTGTGTGAGAGGGTTTAACTCCAAATGGGCCACAGTGGCAGCTGCCTAGGAGAAAAAAAAACCAAACGGTGGGCGTACGGAGGGTGTACTCTTCCTCTTTATCTCTTGGGGAGTGTTGTCAAATTGTTTGATAGCTCCTCACGGCTCTACCCTGAGAGCGCCAAGAGTGAACGATAGCGAGTGATGAGATCAATCTCTTGCCAGCTTTTTTTCTCATCCCCTAATAACTATGGCGTCAATGTGGAACGAAAAAACCAAAGGAGGCGTCTCCGCCAACCTTCGATCAGACGTACACGACTTGATAAATAGTCGACACCTAATACCGATGTATCGATCCATTCCAAATCTCCACTTCTGACTTAGTTGACATGTGTCGCCCTCGAGGCCATGGGCGAATATGCCCCGGCATATTAGGGCTGACGCGACCGATAATGGCCGGCAGGGGCGAATATGCCTCCGGCATATTAGGGCTGACGCGACCTCGGGATATGCTCCGGCATCTTTGGCTCACGGCATATTCCGTTCGTCTTTTCCAGCTGGGCGCAGCTGTGTCGCGAGGCGTGGATATTTAAGACGGCCTGGAGATATTCCTTCCTAGTCTTACTAGTGTTTTGTGTGTTGACGACACACCCCACATACACACACACACAGAGTCTTAGTCCTCGCTAGATTCCAACGTTTTGGTGAAGAGAAAAGGAGGAATCCATCCAATCCAGTCCGATCCAAGACAAGAGATCATGGCCTCCCCGTTTGTCAACGCGATGGTGCTGCTGTTTCTCCTCTGCGCAGCAGCAGCGGCCACCGGATCGAACGAGGAATCTCGGGAGGTACATTTTTATGCCTCCTTAAAGTTTCCAGAGCGGGTGATATGAACGAGATCTCCCCATTTATGGTGAATGCAGGTTCTAGACACCACTCCCGCTTCTCCTGCTACTGTTCCATCCCCAGCGCCAGTTCCAGCTCCAGTCTCTCCAGGTCCCTCTCCAGTCTCTCCAGTTCCAGCTCCAGCAGCTCCATTAAGTACGTTCTCTGTGGTTTCTCTTCTTTTTTTTGTTTCTGTTTCTCTGGCGCGCCGAAGCTTATGTAGATCTGCTCTGTGGCATTTGTAGACTGCACGTCCGCGTGCGAGACGAGGTGCCTGGTCGCAAATCTCCACAAGCGGTGCCTCAAGTACTGCAACATCTGCTGCGTCGCGTGCCACTGCGTGCCGTCGGGGCATTCGGGAAACGAGGACGAGTGCCCCTGCTACCGAGACAAGAAGAACTCGCGAGGCGGTGACAAATGCCCGTGAGTGGCATTTCCAAGAGCTTTTCCCATCGCTCTCGATCTGTATGATTAGTATCGGTGTGTTGTTGCTACGAGAGCGAATTCTTGTCGAGGACCTGGGTAGTATAATAGAGTTTTTGTTTGTCGGTAGCTGGTTTCATGTAGAAATTCTATTCTTCTTCAATAATAATTAGTAATAATAATAATTATTATTATTATTATTGATATTATTATTATGCTCTCACTTTCCAGTCCAGACTTCAGTCCTCCCCTTCCAAAGTTAATGTAATCGCAAGGAAAACAGCTGGTGACATTTGTGCAGTGTCACATCACATCTTATAGCTCACAGATCGGAGAGCCATAGAATATTCTGCTACTGAAAGAGAAGCCCGCCATCACGGCTGGAAGCCATTTTCTCTTTCCTCATTTCCGTACTTCCAGATTTGATTACTTTTTAAAAAGCTGAAAGTTCCAGGTGGATACAACGCTTTTTTGTAGCTTTTGTCTCAGGAAAGAAGCACAAAAAACGAGCCTAGTATGTATTAGTTAATGTAGAGTCACAAGTCGTTTGCCTCACTTTGGTTTTTGATTGTAATGCCGCTCAGGGGCATTTTGCTTTCCCCTTGCTGTTCTTCTTGTCCCGGTAGCAGCTGCACTCGTCTTTGTTCCCGTAGTGGCCCGACGGCACGCAGTTGCAGCTCTGGCAGCAGATCCCGCAGTAGTTCATACACCGGTCGTGAACCGACGCCACCTCGCACCGAGAGGTGCAAGCCTGCGCGCAATCTGCAAGACAGCTTCTAAGTTCACGATCGAGAGGAGAGCAACAAAACCCAAGAACTTTAGCGAAGTTTTCCCGAGAACGGGGCACTCCCCATCGATCTCTCACCTATCTTGGCCAGAAGTTGGCGGCTCCGGCCCGTAGAACCCTGCCAAAACCACACACAAAACACACTCGTCTTTGTCAATACACAACTTGGGTGTCGCCTCGATCTACGGCGATGGATTCAGCTCGAGGCTGGGGAGTGAAGCTCGAACCTGGATCATTGAGGACACAGCGGAGATCTGTCACAGGCAAGAAAGAGCAAAGAGATGAGAAAGAAGATGGGAGAAGAAATATCATCCAGATTCCAGACCTGGAATGCTGCCACCAGGAAGACGAGAATCGCAAAACCCAGCACTCGAGAAGCCATAGCTTCGCTGCAGCACTCTGTTTTTCCAAAACCCGCCCTCTCTCTCCTCCTTTTCTTCGCCGCTCGCTCTCTCCGTGTGTAGAACGCACCCCGGGGTGAACCCCTGCGCATTTATATTCAAACCTGGGTATATTCCCTGCACCGTACCGGCGGGGCCCGGAGATTTTGCCATGTGGACAAAAAAGCTGCGGCTGCGATTCGGCCATGACAGCTAGCACTGAGAGTTTTTACGCGGCTCTGTGGAGGCGGCAGTGCGGTTGCGCTTGTCCGGGTGTTGGATCGACAGTAAAACAATGGTTAGCTTTTTTCTACGTTTTAATTTCTTTTTAATTTGCGAGATTTCTGTACTAGGTAGTGAAAAACGATATACGTATCGGAAGAGCGCATGCGCGTGAAACTTGGTTCCGTAGTCGAATATTCCCGGCCACAAGATTGACAGACATATTTACTTAGCGAGAAATGTTCTTAAATCACATACAAGGAAACAAAATACTACATGTGTAGATACGGACGCATGCGCGTGAACGATGGTCGAATATTCGTTAGAGAATTTTACTGAGAAAACCACCCAAAAAAGAAAAAGGGCAAAAAAGAAAACCAAGAAAAACTCCCACAAACCCAAACCCCCAAAATCAAATCCCCAGGATTTTTGTCGCAGTGGGGGAATTGGGAATGGAGGCTTGGATTTGGTGTAAGTAGGGTTGGATCGCGACGCTAGAGAGGAGGAGACCGGATATGGCGTGCATTGATCGCGGCAGCTGCGAAAAAGGTTTGTGATCCCCTGGGCAGGAAAAGGGCGGCGCGGCGATCCAATTCCCGGCGGCGCCGCCGCGCGGGAGAGCCCATGGACAAGTGGAAATCCTTCTTCCAGAGCTCCGGATCGGACATCTGGACCGTGATCGATCGCGCGATCACCATCGCGGCCGTGGAGCAGCCGGGGGAGCTGCGCGCGCGGCGGGACAAGTTCACGGAGAAGATGTTCTGCCCGACGGCGCATCTCACAGGGCTGTGCGAGTGTGACGATGGCGAGGGGGAGGAGGAGGAGAATGGCGGAGGAGCCATGTCTAGATCCGACGGTGGCGATGGCGAGGAGGACGAGGACGAGGACGAGGAGGATGATGTCGCGGAGAACAAGCTGGTGGTGTCGGGAGGAGGAGCTCTTCGCGAGGACGAGGAGGATTTGGAGGAGGAGGAGGAGGTGGAGGTCGTGGACGAAGAGGAGGACCAGGAGGAAGAACACGACGACCAGGATGATAATGCCGACCAAGAACAGTCTAGAAACAGGAGAAAATCCAAGGCGGATTGTAGCTACATGGACGTGGAAGCTCTCACGGACGAGATGGAGGAGGAGTCTCGGAGGATCAAAGAGATCAACCGGATCAAGAACCAAATCTCCCACTTTGCAGACGAGGTTGGTCTTGGTTCCTCGTCCTCGTTTTTATTGGTGATCGATCGACTGGAACAAGTAACTTTGTGGTCTCTTCTTCTTCTTCCAGGAGGATTATCTCTGCGAGGCGCTGGAGAGATTGGAGAGCATGCACATCTCGTTCGAGGCTCTCAAGGTAGCGTGGAGTGGAGATTTTTATGTGCATTGCTTTGCTCCTTTGCGTGCTCGGTTTGTGACGTTTGTTTGGTGGCGCGCAGGCTACTGAGATTGGAAGACCGGTGAACAATCTGCGCAAGCATCCGTCCTTGAGAGTACGATCCATTGTGAAACGCCTCGTCAGGTTTTCTTTGCCCGACTTCTTCTTTCTTTAGTTCTCTCTAGCTAAACTCTGGAAAAAATTCTTTTCTTCTTATAAACAGTGGATGGAAGACTCTTGCTGAAGAATGGACCAAGAGTGCAGAGCATTTTGCTGGTGGTACTAATGCTACAGGTTCGTCATTAAATGAAATTTCGCTTGTTTTGTGTTTCTCAATTTAATCCGCAGGCCATTTTGACAATAACTATGGATTGCCTTCTCCACCTGTTGACGAAGGCGAGCTCCTCGCTGCCGGGACGGCTCCTTTGGAAGTCAACAAGGTAAGCTTTCGAGCTAGCTAATAGCACTTTGTCCTCTTAGTCTAAGTGATCGTTTTCTCCAGCTCTTCGATTTTATTGAGGATGATATGTGTAAGTCATCTCTTCCTTTCCAGTTCGAGTTTCCTCACATGTTGTGTTAATGAATGTAACAGCTGCTGGCTCCGGAGATATGAACGAGAAGCCCCGACGAGGAAGCTCTGGCGACTGGGTGAGAGGAATTTATGAGGACGCGCACTCGCCGGAAGAGACAAAGCCAGCAGCGGCGGTAAGCAGGAAGACTGGCGAGTCGGAGGCGGACAGAAAAAACAAGCATCAGGTTAGCGTTAGCAGAAAGGATAGCTCGAAGAACTCGGACAGCAAAAGAAGCGGTGAGAGGGAATCGAGCAGGGCAAAAGTGCCGAATTCGCAACAGCAAAATGGATTTAGAGGAAGCCAAGCAGGAGGAGCAGCAGCTGCTGCTGCGAATGGGAAGCACAGCTCTGGTAGCAGCAGTGTTGCTGCGAAGCAGCAAAGGCCGGACGATCAGAGACACAGGGCAGCGACGAGCAACACGTCTCGCTCGTTGAAGCCCGGCGTAGCGTCCGTGTCGAAACCAAAATCGTCGTCTACGTCTCTTCCATCATCAGCCAGCAAGAGGAGTGTTGATGAGAGGATACAGAGCTGCAAGATGAGCAGCTCAAGCAAGGTATTCTTTCTCTTCCATCTCCTGGAGTTTTTCTTCGCTCGAAAAACTTTGGTAAACTTTCCAGGCCGGGGGATCGACTGATAAGCTTGCGGCTGCTAAGAGAAAGCTACATGAAGGCTACAAACAGGCAGAGCATGGTAAATTTTTTCTCATCTCTTTTGATTCTTTGCTCGAGGTGTTAAGAGATTTGCAACTCTATGTGTGTAGCCAAGAAGCAACGAACAGTTCAAGTGATGGAGCTCACGGATCTTCCCAAAGGGAAAGGAGGTCCAAAGGCCGCGAAAGCCAGCGGGAGCAGCAAATTGCATCACGCTCAACACAACAACAGATACAATTCGATCCACGGCAGGCGGTGATCAACGCCAAAGATCGAAAGATCTCTAGCCATCTTCGCAAATTACTCGCCCTAAAATTCAAATATTTGAATTTGTGACACGTGGCGGGCTCTGTGACCGTGGATCTGACATAGGGTTTAAAGTTTTGTCCCTGGCAAAGTTAGGGTTCTTGGGAAAAATGGAGGGATTCCAGAGCAGATTGGATCAGGTGTTTGGCGGGCTGGGGAATGGAAGCGCGCCATCGCTGTGGTCCGTCAGTGGCACGCAGCTGGAGCGGCAGCAATGGCGGCCAGCGGCGAACAGTGACGACGAGGACGAAGGGCCGACTTGCTCGTCGAGTTTTAGGTCTGAGGAGGAGCAGGCGACGAAGAGGGTGAGGCAGGACGAGAATGGGGACGAGAATGTGGACGAAGAAGAAGAGATGATTCGAGTGCAAGCTATGGTCGGCATGGACACCACTCTGGATTACGAGGTAAGCAAGAAAATCTTGGAGAAAAATGCCCAGTGTTCTTAGTTTTTCGTTGCTTTGTTTGATCTTTCATATACCCCAGGATGAAGAGGACGAGTATGATAAGGTGGCTGTGGGAAGAGAGGGCGCTGGTGATCGGCTCTACACAAGCGATGTCAAGGCAAGTTTTGACAGCTTGAGTGTTCTTTCCGGCGCCAGCTTTATGGCTCGAGATGATCTAGCATCGCGCAAAGCAGCAGCAGCAGATCGTCTCGCAGAAGCGAGAGAAGCCAAGATCAATGGCACCACACCGGATTTGCATAGGACCGGGGATTTGTACAGGAGAACTTCGAGTTCCAGGCCGAAAAGTAGTGGTGATGGAACTCGGACTTCCGACTCTAGTGACAAGAGGAAGAACGAAAGCCGTGACGATCGTCCACAGAAGAAGGTCAGGTTTGCAGTAGAGGAGGAGAACCAGAAAACGCGAAGAACTCCGAGAGATGATGGTGGTCATCGCCAGAGAGCTGGGATCGATCGCTACAGAAACGTTCCTCATCACGTAAGGCATCCAGAGAAGTATACGCACTACACTCTTGACTGGGGGGAAGAAGGCAATAGCAACAACGTCCAGGCGTGGCAATCCACCATGGCGGCCATCAATTCTACCAAGAATGAAGGAGAAGGAGAGCAGCCTTTTGAGCTTCCACAGCACGTCCCCTTCGTTCCTCGAGCCAACAAAGAGAGAGCTGGATCATCCAAGCCTGGTGGATCGACCAAGGACTCGACTACTCCAAGCGGCAGCGCTACTTCTGTGAGCTTCGCCGTTAGAGGATTGGAAGACGAGGGTGTGGCCATGGAAGAAAACGCACAGTCGAGCTCCAAGAACCAGAAAAGTCGAAGCTATCGATCCAGGATCACGGAAGAGTGATGGGAGAAGATCTTCCAGTATACAAAACCTCACTCTGTTTGTTACTATATAGTTGTCACAAATCGAAGGACGGAAAATCTAAAGCTCCATTGCCATCGCTTTGAGCATGCGTGTTGGAGAGAAGGACGTACGGCGTGCCATCGCCCGCGACCATCCGTATGATCTCTCGGGCAGCTCGGGCACCGCCTGCCCGGTCGCCATTGGAGTTACAGGCGGACAGTAGCGACGTCCATGCCACGTCATCGGGGAAGTACGGCATTGTACGGATGAGCTCCTCGGCCAGCTCCAGCCGCTCTGCCCGTGCCAGTACGTCCACCATGCACAGGTAGAGGTCCATGGACGGCCACATCCCGTACGACTGGCCCATCGAGAGCACGAGGTCGCGGGCTCGATCCACTAGCCCGGCGTGGCTACAGCCAGTAAGAACCGCGAGGAAGGTTACCTCGTTGGGATGGATCCCTAGTTGCTGCATCGCGAGGAAGAGATCGAGCGCCTGGGCATGGTAGCCGCTCCGGATGAGCGCCTGGATGATCGCGGTCCAGGAGATGATGTTCTTGTCGGGTATTTGCTCGACGATTTCGAGCGCGGATTCCAGGTTTCCAAGCCGCGCGCTCGATGCGGCCATGGCGACCCATGACACGACGTCCCGCTGCGGCATTCGATCGAAATATCGCCGGGCGAGGCGCTGGGAGTGATCCGAGGAGGAGGATGCCGCTGCCTGGACCATGGTGCTCCAGGCGAAGAGATTCTTGGCCGGCATGGTGTGGAACAGGGTCTGCGCTTGGGGGAGATCGCCGTTGGCGGCGTTGGCTTGGATGATCGCGACCCAGGCGAAATCGTTCCATGCCGGCATGCGATGGAAGGTGGAGTTCGCTCTGTCCGGGAGATTCTTGCGGTTGTAGGCGTGGATCATCGAGATCCAGGAGAGCGCATTGCGCTGGGGAGCTCGGGTGAAAAAGATCGTCTCGGCTTGCTCCAGCTCTCCAAGATCAGAGAAGCATCCAAGCAGCTGGTTCCAGGTCGAAATATCATGCTGTGGCATTCTCTCAAAGATCGTGGTCATCTCATCGCTCATCCCTGCCTGGGCTGAGGCCGCGACGAGCAGATTCCACGACACTGCGTCCCTCTGCGACATCTGGTGGAAGAAATCCCTCGCTTGATCGCTGCCTCCATGAAGAACACAGGCTTGGAGCATCGCGTTCCAGGAGAACGCGTTGCGCTCAGGCATGGAATCGAAGAGCTCCTTGGCGTGGTGCTGCATCGACGGGTCCTTGGCGAGTGATTGGAGCATGGCGGTGGAAGAGATCACATCGAACTGGGGCAGCTTGTGGAAGATCTGGGATGCGTGGCTGACGAGCCCGGCTTGGATCGTAGCCACGAGCATCGTCGTCCAGGCCACCACGTCCCGGCAGGGCATCTCCAAGAACAAGCTCCAGGTCTCTTCCAAATGCCCACTCCTGGCAAATGCCGCGAGGATCGAGGTCCAGGAAACAATGCCCCTGGCCGGCATCTTGCGGAAGGCAGCAGCGGCATCTTGGAGGCGACCGCTCTGGGCATAGGCTTGCAGGAGGAGATTCCAGGAGAAGGGATTTGGGGATTGGATGGAATCGAAGGTGGATTTGGCGTGGCTGAGGCTGCCGCATTGGGCGTAGAGATTGATGAGAAGATTGGCGAGGAGGCGATCGTGCTGGAGCTGTGGGTCGTCTAGAATGTGGCGATGGATCTGGGCTGCCCGATCGAGATTGGGAAGCCTGGCGCAAGCTTTGATGTGTTGTACAATTGCGTCACTGCTCCTCATAAACCCTAAAACAAATGGTCGCGGGAATATTCCAAAGTAAATATAAAGGTCTGCCACGTGGGCGTGTTTATAAATAAAAGCTTCTCTGAACAATGACCTAAATTAACAGTGTGGATGGTAATAACAAGAACCTCGGATCTGTCCCCCTTGATGGTGGGTATTGTGAGGAGCTGTGACAATGTTTATAATGAGGAGCCACCAAGATAGCTATGGCAACGAGACATGGCAGCAAAGATCAGGCGGGAGCTCAAGCCGAAATCTCAGAAAACAACCCCTGCTTCGCTTTCTCTCGCCAGTTTATAAGACAAATTGAAGGGTAGAGCCCAATCTTCCTCTCACCCTTGGTCACAAAGAGAGCGCAAATGAATCTGGAGTGGTGCAATCACAAGCATGCCCCATTAGGACACGCTTCATTGGTGCCATCTAGTTTGCTCCTGCCCATAGCCACAGGCATTCCCATCACGAGCACTCATCAGCTGGAGTATGATGGAGCCCAGGGACTACACCCAACACAGGACACCATCCTCATCTTGTCATATCAAGTAGCTTCTTTGAATTGCAGCAGTGCCATTCAAACGCAAAGCAACTGGGCAACGGTGATCATCTTTGTCAATCCCTCTCTACACCGCAGTCCCCATGAGAAGGATAAACTACTTCCACCATCAGCTACATGCACGCGACCATGACTGCGGCTGACATCGTGGATCCGACTTGATCTCACCCATGCGAGTGGAGCGTCGTCCAACTTGGCACCCACGATACGTTGAGGAGGATCCAGAACCTTAACGCCCATACTCTACGAGCACTATGGGGACAACCCAGCATCGAGTCATACATTGATGCCGTTCTAGGACAAAAAGCTCTCAGCTATATAGCTAGCCAGACTCTATCAGCTATTGCTAGATGCCAACTAAATGCCTTTCAACGTTTCTACTCCCTCACATAACTCTCAATCAATCTCGAGAAGACTCAGCTCCTCATATATGGCCGTGGCAAAAAAGCCTGCGTCTTTACTATCATGGGCAGGATGTGAGCAAGACCAACAAATACAAATACCTGTGGTACATGCTGAGCAACATGAGACTGTGGAAACCAGGCATTCAAACCCAGATGGCAGCTGGACAGCGAGCCCTCCACAAAATGCTCTGTCCACTGGGATGCTCAGCGCCAACTCTTACACAGATACTGGCAATCCTGCTGGGACAACACAAGAAAGGCTGGGCAGACCTAGAAGTTACCCACCGAAACTTTGCAGCCCAATTCAGTACAGGCTGATTGGTATGAAAGCTGGTGTTCTTCCAATTGAAACCCGGGCCTGGTGAGACACGCTCCAATTCATCCTTAGTGCCCAAAAGGATGACACAGAGCGATGTGTCTATGCGGCTTCTCAACAACTGAGGTGGCATGATTGCCATGCACAGTGAAACTCGATATAAACCTCAACATGTACAACAACCAGTCACAACCATTCCAGAAGTCTTGGATTGCACTGGCATTCAAAGGGTGGCTCAAAGGTGCTGATTGACGGCAGAAATTCCACTCGTATCTGGACTTTGTTTCCAAAAATGAAGAGAGCTTCACGTTAAGGCCTTCTTCTTGGATAATTACTTTGTTTAAAGGAAGTTTTCAATTTATAATGAAAATAATACCATAGAGAGAAAATTGCTATAAGCTGGTACTTCAAACGTAGCCAGCTGCTAGTGCTTAAGACTAACTCTACTAATCTAAATTTTATTAAAAGCAGATTATATATATATATCACCATTGGTTCAATGAAATCTGTTGTCAGACCAAGAGCAGGGAAAAATAAAGCTCAATGCTATTCTCAAGTATCATCATCTCGCACGGGATTCTCTAGAAGAAATCCTCATGCAAGAAATTCTTGCGAGTCTTTTGCCCGACACAATTGTCTCGTTGATCCTAACGGGGCATTCTAAGCATCCTTCTCTCACGGTCATCACAATGACGACTTCATCCTTCCCTTTAAGCACCAACTTTACTCAGAGCATGTCATTATCGAGAAAGTGGCTGGCAAAACTTGTGAAACCCTCAAACCCAGGCAGCTTATAGCTTTCTTTTAAATACGTCTATAATGTATTCTTGAACGAGCTGAAGATGAAGGTTGGAGGTGGCTCTTGCGTCCTCATCACTGGCGCTGGATCCGGCATTGGTATGTCTCTTCGTTTGGCACACACAGCAAAAGAGAAAGAAGAGAGAATAAGAAGTTCTCGTCATCGGCTCACTTTGACTCGATCGAATTGGCTTTCCAGGGAGGGCGCTGGCGCTGGACCTTGCGAGGCGTGGTGCAAACATCACGATTGTGGATTTGTCATGTGAGAATGGGCTGCGAACCCTGAGCCTGGTAAGAGAGGAGCACCAAGAGCTGACGAATCCGAATCCTCCCTTTGCCATCTTCGTCGAGTGTGATGTCTGCGATCCAGGTGAGAGAGACACTCCAGCATTTCTTTTCCCAATTAAATATTTTTCTCCTGTAGAGCAAGTCGCAAAGGCGTTCAAGGAGCACAAGAACACGTTCTCGAGACTGGATGCGTGCGTCAACTGTGCAGGGATCGTCGAGCAGGGGGACTTCGTGAGCGATGATAAATGGCACAAGGTCTTGAGCGTGAACCTCATGGCAGCCATCGAATGCACAAGCCAAGCAGTAACTCTCGATTCTGGAAGAGATTTCCACTGACACCTTTAAAACATATCTGGATGATCATTTGAACAGATCCAAGCTATGAAGTCCCAGGACGGTCCCGGAGGAGCCATTGTCAATCTCGCCTCGGCTGCCGGACTCTTTCCTGTCCCTTTGTATCCAATCTACTCGGCATCCAAGGGTAAGTACATTTTTTTTCGTTTCTCGACTTCTAAGTTTGTTTTCTTCTTTAATGATAGGTGGACTCGTGATGTTCACAAGGTCGCTTGTGGAATTACAGAGCGAAGGCATACGAGCAAACGTTCTGTGTTTGGAGTTCATCCTTTTTTCTTTCTTTTGCAGAATCATAAGCGAACTTGATACTATTGCTGATGTTTCAGTACGTTGAAACGCCCATGACTGACATTGTCCCCAAGGAGATGATCGCTGCAACTGGTGGCTTCATACCAATGGAAAAGATAATTCAAGGTAACACATACAGTATCTTTCATGTACTCATTTGTCATGTTTTTCTTTCTCTTTGCCTTGTTCGCAGCGATACTGGAGCTGATCAAGGACGAGAAACAAGCTGGCGCATGCCTGTGGGTCTATTCAACGGGTGCCCTCTACTGGCCCTGCGATCTTAGTAAGATCGGATGAAAGTAGCGTTTGATCACAAAAATAGTTTGCTTCTACGTAGACTGCTAGAACATCCAGCAGAAAAATGTAAGCCCCTACCACGTGACAGACCTAAACCAGGATCTGTGGCCTCCCCTTCAATCGGAACACCAGCTATAACAATCCCACAGAGCTCCCACTTTCTTGGAGCCAAAATCCTGGCCAAGATTCCAGTCGGTTCTCATCGCCTGGCGTCGATTCTCGTCCAGGTAGATGAACCATCGACTAAACTTTTCCAAAGAGCTGCGAGAAAATGAGTGATCCATACCGTGGATGCTGTTTATGGCCCAACTTGGCACAAATCTCAACATATGCATATAATCTCAACTTAAAACATTTTCTTACCTGATAAGCATGTAAGAGTAAGGCATTAGCTTCAGCAGATTCACCAAGATTTTCTTCTGTCGTTTGGAATGGTGTCGCTTTGCCACCTTCCGTTGAATGCCCGGCTTGAGCCTAGCCACGTATGAAGAGATCCGGTAAACACGGGAGTGTTCACAGAGCAAGGAAGCAACAAGCAACAAGCAACAAGCAAATGGTCAGAAGTTCTACTAATATCAAACCTAACTCTTTTGTTGTGAAGTCATTTTCTCATTCTCAAGCCGAGAGAGCTTGTCAGCTATGGCGTCCGGAAGCACGAAAACCAATCCGTCTCACGTTGTGGTGATTCCTCTTCCAATCGCTGGCCACACTAATCCGTTGCTCCAGCTCTCTGTGCAGCTAGCGTCCCTTGGATCCGACATCACATTCATCACAACGAGCAGCACTCTCCGAGCATCACTCTCGGCCCTCAATCATCTCTGCGATGGCGACCAAAACTTGAGGCAAGCCATTAGATTTCAGGCTCTGGAAGTCGATAGAAACCGCAGCGAAGGCTATAAGTTCCCCGAGAGCATCGAGATCATGGCCAGGAACTCGGACGAGATTAAGAAGCTCGTCGCGGCTTCTGCTCGCGAGGTCGGGCCGGTTTCCCTGGCCATCATTGACTTCTTGCTTGTCGAGCCTCTCGAGAGCTTAGATTGCAACGTTGCTGCGTTTTGGACGTCGTCGGCGGCCATGCTCCACATCTCTGTCAACGTCGAGACGCTCCTGGAGAAAGGATTCCTTCCGCTCTCCAGGAATGATCGGTCGCCCGAGAAGAAAGTGGTGGATTCGTCCGTGATACCAGGCATTCCTTGCGAGCTCTCGGTTTTCACAGACATCCCCGAGGACCCTCTGGATCCAGTGGGCTTTAGCTCGATGAGAAAGCTCAAAAACCCGCTGCTCAAGGCTCCACGGCTGCTCGTCAATACTTTGGACGAGGTGGAGGAGCAAACTTTGGGTGCTTTGCGAGAGCAGGGATTTCGCAAGCTTGTCAACGTTGGACCTTTGCCCGTCGGGCCGGGATCAAATCTGGAAGATCACACCCAAAAGGAATGGCTCGACGCACAAGAGATTTCGTCCGCATTGTACGTGTGCTTTGGAACAATGCTGGAGCTCCCGGAAGAACAAGTCATGGAGGTCGGCTATGGCTTGGAGGCAAGCCAGCAGAGCTTTCTCTGGGTCCTACCTGAGAGCTCCCAGCGGAAGCTCGGGGATTTCCTCGAGGGCTTGCGGACGAGGATTGGAAAGCGGGGGTTGATCGTGTCATGGAGCTCGCAGATTGATATTCTCAGGCACCCGAGCGTGGGAGGATTTGTTACGCACTGTGGCTGGAACTCGACGCTCGAGAGCTTGAGCTGCGGGGTCCCGATGATTGGGTGGCCGATCTTGGGCGACCAGCCCATCAACTGTAAGTTCATGGTGGACATGTGGAGAGCCGGGGTGAGGATCGAGAGCAAGAGCAGCAGCGATGGAAGCTCCAGGATTGTTGGAAGGAGCGAAGTCGAGCGAGCAGCCAGGAGTTTGATGGGCAGTGAAACGCTGAGGAAACGAGCAAAGGAAATCAAATCCAAGGCCATGGAGGCCATGGAGGTTTCCCGCGCTCGTCTAAAGGAGCTTCTCTAGATCTTGACATTGGAAGTTTCAAATCATACACATTCTCTCCGTTGGTAAGACGCAAGCAATCCCGCGTTGAAGCGAATCCCCTCCTTAGCGCCTCGTCCAAGCCCCTCGTCACCACCGACGCGCTGCGAGAAAACCCGCCAATGCAGTGGACGAGAACAATCACCCCCTCCACCCCTCTGTTAGAAGATCGTGAGCTCGAACACAAAGCTATGGAGTATAAGCTTTGCAAGGACGATCTTGCCGGGAGCTGCCGGGCGACGCGCAGCCATCACCCAGGCAAAATGGATCCATGAGGATCCATGCCGATCGTCAGCGTTGCCAATGTAGAGCGATAGAAAAAGCCCTAGTCTCTCAGAACCTCAAGAGCCCTAATCCTTATTTGACCCTGCGGTCGCTAGCAACAAAAGAGTTATTCTATCTTTTGGAGATGGTTGTGAGTTATCCTCACAACCATGGCGTGTAGATGAGCTCCTCGGCGTCCTCCTTCCAGACCTCGCGAGAACATCCAGAACGCTGCTGTAGTGATCTTTAACGCAATGCAATGATCCGCCTCCATGGATGCAAAACACTCAATACAATTGCTCACTCGCGCAACAAGATTCTTTCCAGATCACATCTCTTGGGCTTTGTTCCTCGCGGCTTGCAAAGTTCACGTAAAGCCGCTGGAGCCAGTGCCTAGGTAGCTACAGAAGTTCCACACTTGCTCTACAGGAGGAAAATATCTAACAAACCGATGCTGAAGTATCTCTCTCACCCAGATCGCAGAGATCACACTCAACAAAGATGGCAAAGGGAGGATTCGGATTCGTCGGCTCTCTTACCAAGCTCAGGGTTCACAGCCCATTCTCACATGACAAATCCACAATCGTGATGTTTCCACCACGCCTCGCAAGGTCCAGCGCCCTCCCTGGAAAAGACAGTTCGTTCAAGTGAAAGTGAGCCGATGACGAGAACTTATTCTCTCTGCTTTTTTCGTGTGTGCCAAAAGACATACATACCCCAGTGATGAGGACGCAAGAGCCACCTCCAGCCTTCATCTCAAGAATGTATTATTGATGGGTTTGTGAAGGAGTGATGTGTTCGAATCCGTGCCCCAACATGCTTGGGAAAATAAAAGGGAGTGATCAGTTTGTTTTATTTGAGGGTCCCTCTTCTTCGGGTGGGTTCGAACCCGGGATCGGCTCTACAAGACTATCCCTCAGGTCCCTGGGCTGGCCAGTCTTCCCAGGGTTGATCACTTGAAAAATATTGCGCCCCTCCTCTACATAACCCGTGAACTATACTTAGTTTGGTTTAAGCCTTGGAACGTATATTCTAACGGGAAAATGAAAATTCGAAGACTTGGAGCTTGATCGTCGAAGCATGCGTTTGAACAAGTCAAGAAGAGAATTTCTCTTTCACAGATGATATCGTGAGATTGCGGAAAGAGTGGGGAAGTAGCAATAGCTGCGATGGTGTTCTATGCCAAAGACAGCATCCAAATTTCATAGCCAACACAGATTAAAACTTGGGAGCCCCGCGTCCCGATGAACGATTGGGCCATAGCGCAGATCGTTTTGTCCAGCATCGCTACCACCTTTGCAATCAAAGAAAAATGCGTTAGAAAGAAGAAGCTGCTTGCTTAGATCGCTCACCTGGTTATCAGCTAGCAGGCCTTTTCTTTGCAGGATCGCGTCCCATTTCTCTCTCGAGTCGTGCTGTGGCCTCTGGATCATTGGAACGTCAGGGCCGAGCAATTGCTGGAGGAGAGTGATCTCGCTCTCCACCGCGAGATGTAGATCACTCAGGGCTTGGCCTCCTGGATCTTCCTCGAGATGCAGCTGGCAGCTTGAGGAATCGGGAAGAAGCAGCTCTCATTCTTTACATTGCTGCCAAAAAAGAGACAAAAGATCATAAGAAGAAGAGAAAAGGTGGCGAAGCTCTTCTTACCAGAACTTCAAGGAGCCATGCTGACGAAAGTGGAGCGCCATGAAGTTGGAGTCTGCACGAACCTTTGCGCGGTGAGAAGAATGGGCCGGTTTGGACGGATGATCGTCTTGCACGAGTGCTGAAATGGACCACCAATCTGTGCTACGAGCTCCGACTCCACGTCCGAGTAGAACACGTCCCCTATGCCAAGGACCTCGTCCTCGCAAGAGAACTTCGCCACGAATTCGCTCGCGCGAGGACGAGATGGATAGCCTTTGAGAGAAGCTTCTTCAGGCCAGGCATCGGTCTTGGAAGTCCCAAAGCTTTAATCTTCTTCTCGTGATCTTCGTCCAAGAAGCAGCCACTCATGTAGCACAGGAGCCGGATGTCCGTCTTGTTCTTGCCGAGAAACTCATGGAGTGTGAGGAGAGTCTTCTCTCCTAGGCAGCTGCAAATGTGGGCGATGTCGAGCGTCTTCTCGTACGAGTAATCGACGCAGGGGTCGGGAAAAACGAGCGTGCGATCGAGCAGCGCCGCGAAGAACATGTGTTTCTCGAGGCAGATGAGGTGATTGGAGATCTGGTCGGACGTGCAAATCACGAGAAGGAAGCGATCCTCTCTCGGCCGCCATTGTACGAGCTTGCCGTGGCGTCTGGATGAGAAAAATTCTGGCCCTGGCAGCCCCGCATTCCCGGATCGTATCCATGTCTGGCGCTGATACCAGCTGCTGGATCTGGTGATTGAGCTCGATCTGCGAGCGCAAGGCATCGGCCTGAGAAGAATCGCGCGTCGCATTCCAGATTTCGAAGAGCCCCTGCTCCTGCCGCCGTAGAAGATCCACATGACGCCCGTAATCTTGTACATGGGAATTCCTAGGGACCAGCTAATGCTCCATGTCGCTCGTCAAGTAGATAGCCTCCACTGTTCTTGCAATCTTTGCTCTTTTCATCGCCTCACTGTTTTCTCAGTCTGCTGCGATCCGATCGCCCAAGGCGGGGCTCAATCTGTCCCACTGTAGTCTTTACATTCGCAGATTCTCTCAGCGATGGTGGCAACCGCGACATCGAGGCTTGCGGGAAGACTCTCTCGGGCATGTTTCCCTATGACATCACCTACGGAAGGCCCACCGGACGTTACAGCGATGGCCTCGTCATCCCCGACTTTCTGATCCAGAAGCTCCACCGAGCCTCGAATTCAATGGCACCGAGTTTGTCAGCCTCAACTTTGGATACGCTGGAGCCACCGTGACCAAGGTCGAGAACCAACCATTCTCCAACCCGCACATCTTCTCTGCCCAGGTTGACGATTTCGTGCGTCACCGCTCCAAGGTCGTGGGTGAATACGGCCGCGAGGATAGCTCTCCATGGTGCGCTCTACATGGTCGAGATTGGAGGTGGCGATATCAACTTCGGGCTGCCGCTGGGAGGTGGCTACGTGATCAATGTCACAATTCCGGCCGTGATCCGGGGCCTGGCCGATGGAATCCACAACTTGTACGCACACGGAGCTCGCCATGTCTTGCTCTACAACATGCCCCGCGCCGATTGCTCGCCAAACTATCTTCAGTCCTTCCAGCAGTTCCCCGTGTACCACTACAACAAGGATGGTTGTATTGTCGAGATTGCCCAGCTTATCTCCTACTTCAACTCACAACTCCAGGCTTTGGCGGCCGAGCTCACCCAAGAGTATCCCGGTCTCACTGTTTACTACTTTGATTGGTTTGCTGCCAACACCTACGTTTTGGAGAACATGGATGAGTTTGGCTTCACGAACTCGCTCCAGTCGTGCTGTGGCGGCGGTGGCAAGTTTAACTGTGATGGAGATGGTCTTTGCGGCTGTGCGCCATTGAACCACACAGATGCAGTCTACACGGTGTGCGAGATGAAAAAGTCTCTTGAAAGAAGCAAAGACAACCCCGAAATTAGAGCTTCACGCTAGGAGCATTGCCTTGATTTTAGCCTTCATGATCTCATGGCACTCGTCTTCTAGTGTGTCTCATTCATGAAACTCTAGTCGTCCAGCTCAAAAGAGCGTTCAAAGTAATGTTCAAAGAGCACTAAACACGATCGCGTCGTTGCAAGTTTGAGTGGAGTTTGATACATTTTAGGTGTAAGTACGAAGGAGTGGTGTGTTCGAATCCGTGCCCCAACATGCTTGGGAAAATAAAAGGGAGTTAAAATAAAAGGGAGTGATCAGTTTGTTTTATTTGAGGGTCCCTCTTCTTCGGGTGGGTTCGAACCCGGGATCGGCTCTACAAGACTATCCCTCAGGTCCCTGGGCTGGCCAATCTTCCCAGGGTTGATCACTTGAAAAATATTGCGCCCCTCCTCTACATAACGAGTTTAGTTAGGCCTTAACCCTGATGAACGATACGACCAGCTTACTAGGGAAGCTCTTGCCGAGGTGGACGCCAAAAATCCATGAGTGGGGAGCGTGGTGATCCCCAGGCTTGGCAAGAGCTGATATCGCTTTTAACTCGCAGGAGGAAGGTGTGGTTTGTATCCGGATCCTCGGACTACGCCTGAGATTTTGTTTCGAAGACCAGGAAATAAAAGGTTGTGCGAGTGGTAACTTGGGTCACGCGGGAGAAAGCTCATGTAGAGATTGATCAAGAAGTGCCAAACATCTCTTTCTTCGGTCTTGTCCTTCAAAATCTTCTCTTCTCTCTCGCACCAAGATTTAAGAGTCAAGGCGGATAATGGTACCAAGGGACGTGGATCACGGTGATCGCCACGGCGGTGTCAAGGCAACAATTGGAGATGGTTGTGAGTTATCCTCACAACCATCTTGTTGCGCGAGTGAGCAGGCGGATCATTGCATTGAGACCCGTCAAGGATCACTACAGCATGATCTGGATGTTCTCGCGAGGTCTGGAAGGCTGGAGGACGCCGAGGAGCCATGCCATTCTTTCCAGATCACAACCTAAAGCCGCTCGAGTTGAGCCCTGGCCAGCGTCTAGCTCGAGCTATAGAACTTCCACAAACCCTGGAAGTAGAGAAGCTATGGATCTAGCAGCGAGGGTGCAAATCCTCGGGGATCTCTGGAAAACTTATGTCAGAAAAGATCACTGTCCACAACTCACATTCGCAGCTCTATGGAAAAGTTTTACAACCTTAATCGATTGTTAGTCCATCTACCTGGACAAGAATCGATGCCAGGAGATACTGCCCAGAATTTTGGCTCCAAGAAAGTGGGAGCTCCGTGGGATTGTCTGCGAGTTATAACTGGCGGTTGTCTTGCGGTTCTGATCGAAGAGGACAGATCCCCGACAGATCCCAGGCTTTGGAATCTGGAGGCCCAATGAGATGCCGACGTTGCGCTGGGAAGTTTTAGGCCTGCCACGTGGTAGGGGCTATACATTATCCCACATGCCGAGATCTGGAATCAAGCCCTCCCAAGTCTATATAAGCAGGGGTTTGTGCAGTTGTGAAGCATAGCACATTTAAATACCCGGTTACTGGGGCATGTAGTGTAGGATTCCCTCTGCTACATGAGGCTGCGGTCTCTTTGGGCTGATCCCCCACAGCCAAGAGCCCAAAGGCCTCCATTTTCTTAAAACTAAAAACAAGAAGCAGCTTTTGGTTTTCTGTTTCTGAGGATATTAGCACAGAAAACTAGTTTGCTTAGTATTGAATGAAAAAGATTGAGAAAAGAAAAGAGTTTAAATCTCTAAAAAAATTATTTTAAAACACTTTGGGCTGGTAGGAAAATTTTCAATTTGAGTGCTAACTCACCACTTGTAATAACTATAACATTAGAAAGGGTGAGTCAACATTCAAATTAGAAGACATTTTGTAGCACCTTTTTTTAGTGCACTATAAAAAATCAACTCTTGAGGTGTCGAAGGTTAAAGGATCTCTAAAAGCATGACCAAAATGATAAAGAATTTATTAAATGAGATTGAGTCCGAAACCGACTTTAAGACCAAGTTCAAGACCGAGTCCAAGATTGAGTCTAAGACCGATTCCAAGACTGAGTTCAAGACTGAGTCTGAGATCCAATATTGGGTCCAAGACTGAATTCTATATCGAGTCCGAGGTTGGGTCCAAGATTGAGTCTAAAATCAAGTCCGAGACTGAGTTTGAAGTCGAGTTTGAAGTGTGTGTTGGGGGGGGGGGGGCTGTAGGGGGCTCCAAAAGTATAATAGGGTAGGGATAGTGAGATCTAGGATGGTACTTCCAAACTGACTATAAGTTGAGATTAAGGGTAAGGGGCTTGGGTGAGAGTGAGCATAGACTTAAGTGGTGTTAAAAGGGCCACCCAAGGAAGTGCTCAAGAGCAACTCCCACTCCCAGAAGGGAAATTAATTGTGATGCTTTTGGCTTATATGGAGTGGTGCCCCACTTGAGTACCTTGTGGCTCATTAGTCCTCACCCTTCCTAGAGGCTTGAGCCTTCCCTTCGGGATGGAAGTGGGGGAGTAAAAATACCTATACTAGGCCGTTAAACTATGGTGTTCCCCCCCTTGGTGTCCCAAAGCAAATGTTACACCCAAGGCTTAGGATTTAGAGGGTTTTATAATCAAGTTTTGTTGTACTAAGGGATGTTAAAAACTTAGTGGCTTGGTGTGCTTGGCTGCTTGTGCCTGCGGGGAGTGCAGCTAAACCTTAAATCTAGTTTAACCCGGGGAGGGGGATTGGGAGAGATTTGGGAATCTGTGGATAGATGGCTAATGCTTTATTGCTCGTGCAATGAGTAGCTGAAACTAAGTAGAACCAAGTAGGAGCTAGTATAATAGGCAGAAACCTTGGCGAAGGAACTTAACTAAGGCCAAGGTAGTGTTAATTAGATAAATGAGGTATTTGGCAAATTGGAAAGGAAAAGTTTGTCACTTACAGGCACTTTATTTTGCCTAACATACTATGGTTTTAAAGGTTATGGTGGAAGAATGAAGAAGAAATTTCAAAAGGATCAAAATATTATAGAATGGTCACCACAAGATATGTTTCATCTTCCATTTTATAAAGAATAAAACTCTTTGAGACGTCAAAAGCTAAAGGATCTTGAAATCAAGATTGAGTCTAAGACCGAGTTCAAGACCGAGTTTGAGACTAAGTTTGAAATCTGAGATCGGGTTTGAGATTGAGTTTGAAATTGAGTCCGAGACCGAGTTCAAGGTTGAGTCCGAGATCAAGTTCAAGATGGAGTTCAAGTCCAAGTCCAAATTCTAATACAAATTATGGGGTGAAACCTTAAAGAGATCATCTCTTGGGGGGGGGGGGGGGTGGCAAAGGGGGGGGATGTAGGGGGTTTTAAAAGTATAATAGGGATAGTGAGGTTCAAAAATAAGTTTTGAAAGGACTTCCCAATAGTGCTTCTAAACTAATTTGATGTTGGGACTGAGGGGTTAAAGGCCTTGGGTGGGAGTGAACACAGACTTTGGTAGTGCTATAGAAGCCACCCAAGGAAATGCTCAAGAGCAACTCCCACTCCCTAAAGGGAAACCAATTACAATGCTTCTGACTTATGTGGAATAATGCCCTACTTGAATACCATGTAGCTCATTGATCCTTACTTCTATGTGGGGCTTGGGCCTTCCCTTTGAGATGGAAGTGGGGGAGTAGGGGTATTATCAAGTTGTTAGGGCATAATGTTTCTCTCAGGGTCTCAAAGTAAGACATGCATCTAATGTTTAAGATTTAAAAGGTTCCATAATCAAGTTTTGCTATACCAAAAGATGTTAGAAATCTGGAGGTTTGGTGTGTTTGGCTACTTATGCTTATAAGGAGTGTGTGAGACACAAAATCCCTAGGCCCCAAAGAGAAGCCAAAAGGGTGCCATGTGGTAATGGATGAGGTGGAGGCCAAATGAGCTTAGCACATTTGGATTAAAAGTGCTAACTCGAAAAGTCAAGACCAGGAGTGGAACTCCTAACAAAGTGCTAAAGGAATGAACATGAAGTAAGCAATAAGTGAGTCTCTACAAGGGATTTCAAAGGGGGCTACAAGGGATTTCAAAAGTATAGTAGAGAGAGTGTGGGGGTTGGACCCCAGTGGAGCTAGTTTAGTTAGGAAAGGCTAGTTTGGCCTAAGAAAGCTATACCCAGATGTTGGGTGATGGGATAACCATTGGGAAATCCAAAACTAGAGTGAATACAGACTAACAAATGGGGTAGTTTAGTGAAGTGTTCAAGAGCCGGCTTTAGTTCCCTTAGGAGATTGAATGGTCGATACTCCTAGTCCAAGTGTGGGTGGCACTACCTATTTGGATACCTGGTATGGCTCAACAAAACCTCACTCTACGCCCATGGCTAGAGCACCCAAAGGTGGAAAGTGGGGATAATACATAAGCGGCTCGCATAGGGCCACAACCATGGACGAATGGCCTAGTCTTTGAGTGATAAGACTGTGATGTAGGTGTATTGAACCACCGGTATGATCAAGGTGAATGGGCATGGCATTAGTGTAATGGGTTGATATGTCGGTGGTACCTTAGAGTGTCGGTCATAGGATCGGACACGTGGAGCACTTGGACTAAGTGCAAAGGTTGAGTGGCATAAATGTCATTCTCAAGGCTAGCAAATCCTAAGTCATGAATTGAACTTATGGAGGTTGTGAATGAGACTCCTCCAAGTTGTCAGAAGTGGGGTTGAGTGATTAAAGTAGAATGGAAAATTTAATTGTTTACAAAATGTATCCAAACCTTAAGTCCAATATAACCTAGGAAGGAGGATTAGGAGAAAATTTGGGAATCCGTGGATGAATGGCTAACACTCTGTTGCTTGTACAGTAAGTAGTTAAATTAAGTAAGACAAAGTAGGAGTTGGTATAATAGCTAAAAACCTTAGTAAAGGAACATAATTAATACCAAGGTAGTGGTGGTCAGATAAATAAGATAAACTAATAAATTGGAAAGGAAAGATTTATGGCATACATATTCCAACTATATCCTAAATAGATTTTTCCATTTAATCCAATATTATTCTCTCAAATTCTTAATCCCTTTATGTTTTCTCATCTTCCTTTTATGTCAAATATTTTTATTTTTATATTTTTTGCCACTGCAAACCATAACATTCCTTTCAACTCCAAACTTTCAAATTTTAAGTCATCCAACTCTAAGTTTTCAAAATTTAAACCAACCAACTTTAATCCATCCAACTCCAAGCAATTTAATTCCAAAACATCTAACTGTAAAAAAGAAGAGGCAAGGAAAGAAAAGAAATATGGTGTAAGAGGAGATAAATAAAGAAGAAGTGAAGGAAAAAAAAAGGAAATGGGTTAAGTAAAAGGATCATTAAGTGTTACAATTAATTTATATTAAATTTTAAATAAAAAATAAATTCAAAAAGTCCAAGTAGATATTTAAGACAAATTACTTGTTATGCTTATGAGTGTTTGTCTAAACTTTAACAAAGATTCTATAGCTTATATAAATAAGCTAAAGTAAATGTGGAAAGAGTATGTAGAAGATAAAATTCACAACAACTCTCTAGAAGTGGTAGTTAAGGTTTTTTTCCTTTTGACAATATCCTTTTTATTTGATTTTTATTTTTAAAACATACAGATCTGATAAATATAAATTTA